AATATTAGTCTGCTAAAACACAGCAAAGACAGGTCACTTTGTAAAGACTAAAGGTCAGTTTTATATTATTGGATACAATAACATGAGTGCACGTGTGCCACATCATTGTAACTTTTGTACTGTTAGCCAGGCACAGCTGAAAGATCAATATAATAAAAATAATAAATGTATAACGTTAGGAGATTTAAGCTATTTAGTCTAAACATTTATGTTTTCCTACTGTAATTTGTTGTCACTCTAGAATGAAAGAGGCATAATTTATATTTATTTCCTAATTTTTTTATGGTTGTTACGAGATTGATCAAATCTACCGAACTCGTACAGAGATTCATTAGTGAAAATAACAGATGAAATATAGTTTTTTTCCTTAAGAAATTTTTGATAACTATCTTGAACTTGCCTTTTAAATAAATACTTGACAACAGGTACTGTTTAACTCTTTCAACATGGGCTCTGTCCCTGGGACCAACCTCATAACCATTTTGTGTTTGTTATAGTTTTCGTGCTATAACTTAAATTAGTAAGTGTATGTTAACGAAATTTGGCAGGTTATCAGTAAACATTACAATGCTTTCATGTGGAAAATATCAAATTTTTTATTAAGTTTTAAGGTTTGTTAAGCAATCTTTTTCTCATGCCGTTTTTTCTTTTCACATGTTGCCTATCCAACGTGCAAAGTAATTTTCATTTTAAGATGAAAAATACTTTTATGCATCAGAAAATGTTCAAATTTCACATGCAAAATCTTTATAATGTGAGGAAAGCTAGCAAAAAATTACATAAAAAAAAGAATGGTTCCTTACATATATATATTTTTTTAAATAAATCCTTTATTGGATTATTTTACATTACTAATACAAAAATAAAATTAATTGAAAATTACCCCCCACTTTAGGGCTTACTTAGTACCTTTAGCTGTGGGAGGTTTCATTATAACTACATATGAATGTAGGTATTTCATACATTTAAAAAATAGATGGTTAATATAGTTAAGAAAGTAGCTTGTCACTAAATTTTCCATAGTTTTTTCGGTGACTGACAAGCTGAACCTTAAAGCATTTGTTTAAAAGAGAGAACAAAAAGAACTATGTACTTTTAGGCTGCATTTGCAAATGCACCTTATGCTGACCATAAAATTTCTATTTTATTAATTCATTTCTGATTTCCTTTATTTAGTGACAGAAAAAGTAATCAGTTATTGAATTACATTATTTTGACAGTTTTTAGCTCTGAGCAAATTCCACAAAACATGAATTCGCATGTATTGACAATGCCATGAGGACTAACTTTATCCTGGCTTTATAAAGTTTTGTTAAGTGGTTATTAAATATAGAAACAGGTTATGAGGAATGTTTTTATTATACAAGTTTGTAGTTTTTGGTAAATCTATAATAATAGTAGGATGTGTCTGTGTTTCTATGTGTGACTACCATAACTCCGAGAGGAAAGAACTTAGAAACCTTAAATTTTGCACATGTATTAAGTGGACCCTGAGAGTGTGCATCTACATATTATTACTTATCCATGTGTGTGTGCATCTTTTTAATGAGGCAAGCTAGTGAAAAACCACATAGAAAAGAAATGTGACCACCATAGCTCCAAGAAGAAAGAACTTAACCTGAAATTTTGCAACCGAAATAAGTGGACCCTAAGGGTGTGCTTCTGAACATTATTATTTATCTTATCCACGTTCATATGTGGGTGCACATCTTTTTAAAAATTTAAAAAAGTTTAATGTAGAATAATTAGTTCTAAAAATTACATTTTGGTACAAAAAATAGGTTAGTTTAAAAAGTGTTACTTAAGGGTTTGTTCCTCTACTAACATGTTTTTGTTTTCAAATTAAACATCAGTCACAATTTTATAACAATGTATGGTAAGACTGAACAGCAAAAAAAACTATTACTTATGACTCATTTACTCTATCATAAGAGCCAACATTAAAAAGTTTTTTAAATTTGAAAACTCAATCTTGATGATATCATGACACCTAATAAAAAGTCGAAAAATACTGACTCTTATCTATTCAAAAATTCCTACTCTATAAACTTTATAGTTAAATACCTCGATGAATCTATTTTAAAAGTATCGAAATCTACTCACTTTTGCTCCATTTGATTTTTCAGCCACAATCCGTCGCACAATAACTGGAACCAAAATTATTAAACCAGTAATAATCATTGTAGGAATCAGTGTTGCAATATTAAAACTGCTTTCAAAGTATGGAGGGTAAGGATACTGCTGTATTTCTGTAGTAAACTGTAAAGACAAACCAATTCTTGGATCAAATAATAAATTAAACTTATTAGCAATTCAATAAAAACATTTATTAAAAATGGCCAATCATAATTTAGTAAAAGGTATCTAAAGTGCACAGGTAAATGAAGCAGCAGTCTCTTTCAAGTTTCATCTTTAGTATTTCCTCATACTTATACATCCATCTAAAATTACTAAAGCTCCTTATTAGAAGTTCAAATGTGTTATGCACATTTAAAAATACTTTTGTTAATTACAGTATGCAACTTAAAATGACTGGTATAATAGTATAGCTTGTTACAGTAAAAATTTTGAATGGGAAGAAACAAACACTTTCATTTTAATATAATTTTAGATACTTAAAATTCTAAATATTGCACTTTTACAATTAAAGGACTTTAATTTCAACCTCTGAAATACTTCTCTTACTGAGTTGATGTAATGTTGCCAAGAGCCACGTTACTTCAAATTCTGAGTGTTCTTGATTAAATGCAGAGCATACAAAAACTTACCCAGAATTCTCCACTCTCCCTTGCCTTATTGCACAAGCATCAGGAGAACATACATAAATAACCCTTGCTGCTATCCTAACATAAGCCATATTTCTTTGTTTGCAGTCATAATGATATAATCTTTCCAACTGTGGAGAGGTGGGTGTAAAGTACTTCAGAGATGTAAAATTCAAAATAAATTCATGTATGAAACATGTAAAAGTAATAATACATATACTGAGATGGAGGAGGGAACTCAAAAGTGTCATAACATGATTCCACAAATGTGAGGCTTTTAGGGATAAAGGTAACAACCTAAACCACATGTGAATTAAGTGGTCAAACAGTGTTTGATTAGAATACAGAACCAAACTAAAAAGGAAATGGAGTGGAATGTACCAGCTTCAAAGAAAATGAGGACATTCAAAAAAGATTTTTCTTAGCAGGCTACCTCCTCAATCTGGACACCCATTGGTAAGATATATTTATGTATACATAGAGGTTGGGTGATGATAATAAAGCATATGCAGCCATGTACCTTCTTAAGTGTGATCATAGGAAGTGGTAAAAGAGGTAATCAAGGTGAGAGTGAGTCTAGTCACTGGAAATCTAAAGAGACTTAAAAATACTTAGGTGGGTGATTTTTCATCCTGAAAATATGAGACATCATATGGAGAATGAGTGTCACATCTCCAATGTGACACTTTCCACGCAAGGACTTGCATGTGGAGGTAATAAAATGTACTAGCAAAGGCATCCTCTGTCCACTTCCAGAGAGCATTACTCTCTCATGTAGCTGCTATGTAGAAGGTGGGATTTTGTCTAAGACAAATGGAGAGGTAAGTGACATGCAAGTGTATTGACTAAATGAAAACATACAGTATGGAGTCTTATATTACAAGGAGAAATTGCATTTTCCAGAAACTCCATCTGGTTTGAAAAATCACATCCAGAGGTAAATGGAAGTCCTGAAGCTGAGAAGACAGCAATATGATGTAAGTAAAGCTTCCAGAATATATTTGCATGCATTCACACACTGGCTTGCAATATATACTCTAAAGGTTACTGCAACTAGGACACTAAAGACATTTCCAAATGCAACCTGAATTTCACTTTTAAGGTGTTATAGAACATCAGAATAAACAAGCTGAGTCAGCTGCACAAGCCAACTTTGTTAATGTAGACAGAGCAAGATCCAAATAGCATTAATCATCATATGTTATAAACAACCTTTTCTGAGCCTTCATGAATGATTCACTGTGGACAAAATAACGGGTGAAAATCAATGGTTACCTTCTTTCACAACCCAAGCCTAGGTAGGTCAGCATGAAAAAGGTATAAATACAAATCCTTCTGAGAGAAAAAAAGAAGGAGGCATCTGAAGCATCAAGGGTATGCTTTTCTGCCTGATGCAAACAATGAAAGATATGTTTTATAAAGTAGTTGATAGAGTGAACAAGTTACCAAGGGTTTAAAAGTGGAAGAACCTAAAATATGTCAGAGTACTAAGCCCAAATCCCTTTTAGGAAAGTTTCTAGAAACTTAGAGTTACTGAAGATAAAAATCTCAGAAGAGGTCCTTGTACCACTGGGACAAAAAAGATTGATGGTTTCTTTTTCATTTGAAAGTAGCAGACATAGGAATTGATAGACCTTCAGGAAAGAGTGTCAGTACAAGTGGACTAATACTTGAGTCACACTAGAATGGAATTCAACTTCTTGGACTAAGGACCTAACAACAGCCAGCCATGAAACCACTTGTTCAACTTCAGCATGAAAAAGGGATCTTTGAATTTTTCAAAGTCATTCTCAAGGTGGTAATGGGATTGTTTCCTCATGAAAAAGTTAATGAATACAGGAGAAACAATGGTTCAGCATGCCAGTGGAGCAATGAGAAATAACTGATTTAGGTGAGCACTGAGAAAGAAGGTGGAGAAATGGTAGGCATAAAGAAAAAAGTTCCCTCATGACTGACATTGAGTATTCAGAGTCAAAGAATGGGAACTGGAGTTATGGATGATCCACACATTAAATGTAGCAAGCTGGGTAGTCAAATAAATGTGTGTAAAAGACTGAATAGATAAAACAATCAAAATATGCAATCATTCAACTAAACGTCAAGGGCAAGACAGAAGGATGAACATTATTTGCAATAAAAATAAATTACAACCAAAATAATTATTAAATGTTAAAACCCTAATCAGCTCCTACTGGCACACTACTTCTCAATAAGAGACTAATGATGGAAGAAAGAAGTTCTTTCAATGTCACCAGAAAACTGGGGGAGGGACAAGCACCTAGCAACAAAGCATGGCAGGCTAAGGTATCAAATGAACACAACAGCCATACGGTAATAGAAACTACATCCATGACAATTTCAACTAAGGGAGCAAGACTGTAAAGCAAAAATTTGGTCCTGGCTAAAAGAAACAAGAGAATGAAAACAGATGATATTTAATAATTACTATTAAGAAGAACATCTCAAAAGGAGCCATTGTTGGATATACAAGACTGTTTAGTGTAAGCATTACTATCTGGTTATTTTGTCACTTAATATTTAATGTTTAGTATTTATATTTGTTTAGTTTTCATGATGGTAGTGTTGACGGTTGATTGTTTTAAGTGTGTTAGTTGTGACAAATTTCGTTACGTCACTCTGTACGAGTCGTATGTTGTGTATGCAATTAGATTGTTGTACTTCAGTAATATTGTTGATGTCATGTTACTCGAATATTCGGTATTTGTTTCATTACCTTAAGTGAGTATCATTCCATTATAGCATCATGTAGTTTATAGAAAGTTCAAGGACTCAGTGAACAAGGTGTGTGTGTGTGTGTGTGTTTATATTTATATAAGTGACTAGCGACTGCAAGTTGAGAAAAGTCAAGTGAGAGATAATTAGACAGATCTAGACTGAGTGATTATCAGTTTAACCAAGAAGTTAGAAATTTAGTCAGAAAACATTAAGTTAATGAACGTGAAGTTTGGTCAGAGAAAAAAGTTAGAAAACGTGAAGTTAGCTGGCATGTGAGTGATCAGCCTTAATAGGTGATATTTTAGTGAGTTTCACAGTTTAATAGAGATAAGAATAATTTTTGTCAAAGGGTGTTCTAAAGTAGTTGAACCCGTCTGTGTGGTCTTTGACAACAGAAGACAAAATTTTAAAAACTGAGGTACAACTGTGTTAATCCACAAGGTAACGTAAGTGAATTTATCTCACATTGTATAGTAAGAAACAGAATAGAGAATTATTTAGAGTTTTAGATACAACTGTGATAACCTATAGTGTAAAAATTTTTTTTACATACATCCGACTTGTATTGTATACATTATTTTGAAACAAGTGGATTGTGTGCAGCCCGTTTATTGTTCGAATTTATTGCTAACGAGTCATAGACACCTACTGTAGAAGAATCCTAAGCCCAACTAAGCTCATATTCAAAACCCTGACAGCCATATTCATCAAGTACAGGGAAAAAATGATCATTGGGAAAAAATATGAGATGATGAGTAGAAGAGCATAGCACCACTAAAAGGCTATTAAAATTTAATTGATTACTAAAGGTATCAATAATGAGCCAAAAATGAAGAGGAGAAAAGTATTAAGTATCGAGAACTGAATCATCTAACATGAAAGTAGCACTCACAGGCAGAGTTCAAGATTTAAAATACAGCATACCTGATAAAAAAAAAAAGAGATCATACTGTCAAACTCTTCTTCACAATTAGGGCCAGTTGATAAATTCTATTTTTCAAACAATGAAGTTGAATCAGCATAAGCAAAATTTTTTTTTTTTATTGTCATCATGAAAAAGAAAGTGAATGTTCTGCAAATGAGCATCCACGTGAACGTGGAACCTGCCCAAAACAATATGGCCATAATATGTTGATTATCAATAAGGGCCAACATGGAACCTCACTACAGGCTAGAGGCAGATGACATGACTAAGTCCTCTAAAGGTAGCATAAAACTTCTAATATTGGTAGAAAGTATGCACCAATAGTTACTGTTGGCATCAAAATACTCACTGAACAAATTCAAAACATGATTGCCAACAAGAAAATCTGTATTATGACCAAAATTAGTGCTTATGTAAGTTCTCCTGACACATTTGCAATAGGTCTCATAGACATAGTGACTGCTGAAGCTTTGTTTTTTATAAACAAATTCACATGTACATACACCAAGAAAATTTTCCACAATATTTTCTGTTTAAATGTCATCTTATGGTAGCAGGCTCTACTTTAAACTTTCTATATGTCTTCTTTAATCAAATACCAAATACTCATTTACACAAATTCAAAACATTTATAACGTGTAATATGTACTGTAATAAAAATTAACCACAGAAAAATTTTACAGTTCTGAAATGAAATATTACCGAAAGATTTTCTTTCATTCCTTTTTCATCCTCCTGTAGCATTTCAACATGACTCAGAGCAACAGCAGACTGAAGGCACAAAAACCCACTGTACTTGTATTCATCTGGGAAACATATTTGAAAAATTAATATTTTTGTACATTATAAAATTCTTTGCTTGGATAATAAAAACAACATGAAAACCCAAATATTGAGAGAGAGAGAGGTCCATCTAGCAATTGTTATAGACCTATAGTTCAACCTTAAAAGATTTATTTTCACATAAACTAACATTTAAAAATATGTATCAAAAGAGTTCCTCTTCTCTATAACCAAGAAAGTAGGAAATATACAGCTCATAAGCAAAAAAATGTATTGCTATTAAAAAAAAGAGAGAACTCCTTTATTCTACCTGAAAATACGTTTTAAATAGATAATGAATTAATATTTACAGAAGATAAGCTAGTCTGACTAGCAAAGACATACATGCTAAAACAATATTTCATATTAATTATTCAGAAAAAAAAGAGATTATACCAACAGTACTTTATATATTCATGTAGAAATTATTATTATTGTTAAACAAAAAAGTCTTGGACAAGCACTAGGTACCAAAAAATATGGATAGAACAGCTTATATTTTGAGAGTTATTAAAAGATCTGTAGCTTTATTTGTATATGTAGATCTGTTTTTTTTTATCGATACAATATAGTTCTTCCACATTTGCAACTTGTAGATTTTAACTCAACAAAGCACTTAATGTACGAGAAAAATATCGATGTAAAAGATATCATTTTAAGTTTTGAAATTGTATGAGAAAAGTTGGGAACCTCAAAATTGATAAATCCCCTGGTCCATACAACTTTCATCCTAGAGTTTTAAAGGAACTTAAATATATTTTATTTTTGACTGCTGGCTAATGTTTTCTTATAGGTCATTGAGTAGTGAAAGAGTATTAAAAGACTGGAAGTTGGCTAATGTTAGTCCAATATTTAAAGGAGATGATAAACATTGTCCAGACAATTATAGGCCCATTAGTCTCACATCAGTAGTTGGAAAGATTTTGGAGAGCGTGATTAAAGATGCATTGCAGAGTTACTTAAAGCAGTTTTATATAGTGTCAAAGAGCCAGAATGATTTCACTAAGGGAAAGTTTTGTTTAAAAAACCTTCTGACATTCTTTGAGGATGTTACTGCAAGAGTTGATAAAAGAAAAAAACTGTGAATTTGGTTTACCTTGATTTACAGAAAGCGTTTTGATAAGGTGCCTCACAAAAGACTTGTTACAAACATTAAACCTGTGCGTATGGTGGGAATGTTATTAAATTGGATAGAAAATTGGCTGGAGAGTAGAAAGCAGTGAGTAGTAATAAATGGAGTTAGATCTGACTGGATCACAGTTACAACCAGTGTGCCTCAGGGCTCTGTGCTGGGTCCTCTGCTCTTTGTGATTTATATTAATGATTATGACTCTGGAATGAGTAACAAAATTTTGAAGTTTGTAGATTACATTAAAATTTTTGGGATGAACATCTGTATCAAAGATGTTTAACTATCCAAAATGCAAGGTGATGCAAGTAGGTATTCAAAATTCAAACTATTGTTACAATTTAAATGGGAATACATTAAATACTGTGTTTGAAGAAAAATATCTTAGTGTTGTGATCGAAAAATCACTTAAGTCATCTAAACTGTGTATTGTAGCTAGCAATAGGGCTAATAGGATTTTGGGTAACATATATAGAAATACTGAATACAAGACAAGGGATATTATTGTTTTACAGTATAGATCACTTGTAAGGCCTCATTTAGAGTACTGTGTACAGTTTTGGGCTCCCTTCCTCAAGAAAGACACTGAATTGTTGGAGAAGGTTCAGAGAAGAGCCATTAGGATGATACCTTGGATGGCGGGATTGTCCTGTGAGGAGAGACTTAAATCTCTAAACTTGTTTTCTCTGGAAAGGAAAAGGGTCAGAGGGGACTTGATTGAAGTGTTTAAGATTATTAAGGGTATTGATAATATAGATCCATCAAACGTTTTTGTGTTTAGCAGTGAAAACAATAGGACAAGGGAACATAAATTCAAATTTTGCAGCATAGGAGTCATCTGCAGTTTAGACAGTATTAGTTTTCAAACAGGGTGGTTGGCATTTGGAATGAGCTACCTTCAAGGGTGGTGGAGGTGAAAATTTAACTGAGTTCAAGAAAAGATTGGATGAATACATGAGTAGTGAGGGGTGATTATAGTTTGGAGCTGGAAGGAACATCCTTCATGGGCTAATAAGCTCTTTTAAGATTTTATGAAATTTATGAAATTATATAACAGGTGTGTAAACCTAATACTTTAGCACTATTCATTTACAAATAAATGAATAAATAAAACACCTGTCCAAATAAATTAAAATGTGCACATGCACAATACTTGTTTCCATGTAAATGCAGTGTAAAAATTTTGCTGTTTCATTTGTCAACCCAAAATGCTATTAAACTAAAATAAAGATATTAGCATGAAAGGCAAAAGATCCATCTATCATACTTCAAATAATCACAACCACTAACTTTTTCACTACATATTCAGCTTCTACTATTTATAGAAAGTATTATGTTTTTAAGTATTGATACATATTTTTATTTATTTGTAATTCATTTTATGCTAGTATCTAACAAAATATTAAACATAATAGTTTGTATCAGATTTGATAGTACTACAGAAAGATATAAAAATTTATTTTTAATGAACACAGCTTTCCACATTATTTTGTTGTATACTTATATGCAATTATTGTACAGTGACTATTTAGTTTTAATTTATATCCTAATTATGGTGATTTAAAGAATAAAAATTAACAAAAGCAAATCTATTATTCAGCTAATACAAATAACATCAATTTTGCCATGTTCTAAAAAGATGAATACTACTTAAGCACACTCGTTGTTTCCATAATAAAATTTGTATGACATTTTTTATCTTCTGAAACAATGAGTAGCTACTAATTTTATTTATGGATTTAAACCCGAGTTTTATCACTTTTTTCTGTTCTCATCTATTTATATAATCAAAAAGAAATAGTGTTCTATATACTAAGTTATGTACATAGAAACATATTCCTCTCTTACCATATGTATTTGGTCCAGGGTCTGAAAAAGGTGGATAAGTTTTTGATGTTTGAAATCTGTACATCCAGTTCGGTAAACGTAATTTATAGGTTAAATCATGAGAACTGTCACTGGTATCTTCAAAAACAATTCCCCCAATAAAGTATGAATCATATTTTGATTCTGCATATGCTTTTGATGCTTGTAATTCAATGTCCTTTTCAGAATCAACTCCTTGTAAATCTACATAAAATGTAAATGAATTTTTTGACAATACAGATAAAAAACCATTGTGACAACTGTTTAATTTTCAGAAATTAATCTACATCATTTCTTCAAATGAATTATTATAGCTTGATACTCTCTTTGGTTTTCTTGTACTGATAAATTAATTAATAGTTGATAAATTAATATAAGTATTTGCTTTGAAATTAAAAATAGATATACAGAAAAAGAAAAAACAACAACACTCATTTCATTGCAATGTTAAGATGCAAAGAGAGGCAATGGAGGACCACATTAACATCTCAGTCTGGAAGAGCAGTCCGCTGTGGAGGACGATGAATCTTAAAGGAACCTATCAACATGGAAAGTGTAGGAGAGGTAAATAACCTACGTTATCAGGAAAAACTAAAGGTTTGGGACAAAGCTGTCTGATAACCATAAATCAAGGAGACTGAGGATCCCTGATTGAAAAGCCAAGTAAAAAACTCAGCATTACGAGGAACAATAGGCCGATCAGCTGTGAGGAAACCACAGCTGAGCCAGCCAGTAAGGAGCAATCAGAAAGACTGATTGCATCAACAGCCAGGGCAAGAGGATGAGGGACAAGACCAAAACAGAGGTAGTTTGTGGTTGAGCCACTGAAAAACAAGAGGATCAAGAGACCACTCCATCAAATAGATTTTGTCTGGATGGGAAAGATGATCCGTGACAAGATTGAAAGCACCTGGAACATGGGGATCAAGACAGGATGCCAACTTGGTGATTGAGATAAGCAACCACTGTAGAATTGTCAGAATGAATCATTAGCAAACGATGTCTGGCCAGATGTGGGAAATGATCCAAGGCCCGATGTACAGCTAGAAGCTGTTGATACAATAAAAAACTTCTTGGCTGCCAATTAACACCCCGAAGCATCCTGTTGATCAACTTATGGCCCCCATTTCTGGAGGGAAGCATCAGTGAAAATATGTAAATACAGGGGAGGAGAAGGAAGCGTGTCCCCCAATGTGTATGTCCTGTCCAACCACCAATGCAGATCGTCGACTATGGTAGGAGGAATGATAATAAGAGCCTGCAAAAGATTCCTTGCAAGATTTGAAGAGCTCTCACATGAGCACAACCTAAGAGGATAAGTGTGGCCATGGAAGACCATCTCCCCAAAAGTGATAGAACCTTATGAGCTGTAATAGAGGGAGTAGTAGGAACATGGTGCATTGAAAGCTCCATCAAACAAAGTCAAAGAGGAGAAGGTTGGGCCCGACTGAGATGGATGTTGAAAAAAAAAACACCCAAATGTATCAGATATTGGGCAGATTGTAGATTGAAGGAAAGACTTCTACAATTTGATTAACCAGTCCACTCGAGCCATCTCCTGGAGCAGCTGAAGAGTATGACAGGCAGAGTATGTTTGGAACGAGCTAACAGCAGCCAGTGTCCACATAATAATGAAAACACGAGGCAGAGGGAAGGAAATGAATACCTGTGACAAATGAGGTTTGGAAAGGAATTGTAGGACAAGTCCATCTGACAGAACCCGAATAACCAACTGATCTGTGATGAAAGAAAGATCGTTAAAGAGGAACAGATTCATACAATCAAGCTCCAACCAAGTAGTCACCAGTACTATTGGCATCGTGCTGATCTATGTCGAAGAAAACTATGAGATAAGGAACCGCTGGAAGAAGAAACAGTTAAGAGCTGAGAAGGACTAGGATGGGAAACAATCACAATGCAAGATATATCCATAATTCAGTGGCCTTAGGTGATACATTTAATTTATTCACAGCAATTTTTTATTATTAATGAAAATTTTATATTTGATAAAAAATGAAATGAAATGTTGTCTAAACTTTTAGTTCCTAATAGTTCTACAAAATGCTTTGTGATACCTACTTTAAAGATTTTTATCCAATTCTTTTGAATTTAAATAGAGTAATCATTATTTTTATATTAACAATAAAAAAGCTAATTCTTACTTGGAGTTCTAAAACCCATGCTTGACTTTTTAATCTTGCTGAAGGCCTTTTCCAACAACCGTTTATTTCCTTGCTTTTGGGGACAGTAAAAAAAAGTTTTGTTGGACTGACTGTAGTCAATAAATGCTGAGTTCAAAGTGAGTGGATTTACTGGTTTAAATATAGTAGCATTATGTTTCCCTGGTGTTCCAATGTCTGTGTTTGTTGGGCCAAGGGTCCTGAGATACGCAAGAAGTGCTGATAGCAAGAGGGGAATTATGACCTCAAATCCTGTGACAATGTAGTGGCGTCGGCGAAGCAATAAACCCTTCCAAATAAGAAGCAAAAACTGTTGTATAACTCCCATGTTTTCAGATGAGTAGTTCTTATGCTGCTTTCACTGTTGTGCCTTTTAAAATGTTGTTACTGCAAATACATAAATAAGAAACAAACATCATAAATTTAAAAGACCTTTTCAACTGGGTATGCAAATAAGCTTCTTTTGTTTTCTGTGGAATACATCAATGTAATTTCTTAGTTTTTTCTGGATATTCTATTAGTAATTCTCTAAAAATTAAATGAATAAAAAAATACTGATTTGAACATGTAAAATACAGATTTCAAGATAATTTTAATCACACTGCAGTGTTATTACTATGAATCTGAAAAATAAATTTAACAAAGAGAAGTAGTGCAATATCATTCCAAACTGTTTTTATATAACTGTTTATTTAATTATTCTAAAATATACAAAATCAGAATTTATAACCAGATTTGAAATATTACACAAAACTACTCCTATTTTGAACTTAAATCTTTTGCTTATTAAATAATTAAACCTTTAGACAATTTTACATATTTTTGTAAATATAATATTTTATCAGAAGTTCCAACATGCATATTGTGATATTTATATATTAATAACACAACAACAAACTTATAACTGTGTAACACATGCAGTTGAACTCAACATAACAATTTGAAACACTGCTTACAGCTTCCTCTTTAACCTTGTTTTTCTTAGCCTTTATACTTCCCAACTAAGTTCTTCATACTATTTAATAAGCACAGAAAAAATATCCTTCACTGGTATGATAGTTTATTGTCCAAATACACCCAACAGCTACATATTTTCTATCCTTAAAAGGCAGCTACAAATATTATGTTGTGACACAGTATTAAATTTAAATCTTGTTGTGTGTATGAGGTACATTATTCACTATCATACAAACCTCACAGTCATTAGCAATAATCAGCTTTCATAACCCTATAACTTTATTAATAGTAGTAATATATTGAGCAGGTGTGTACTATCTGCCAAAAACAAATGAAAAAATTCTGGCTGAAAATGAGAACAAGCAGAGTCAACACATGCATGTAAAATTTTTCAAAAATTTGTATGTAACGCCCTTTTTTCTTAATTACTAAGTAATCAAGAAAAATAGTTTCATACATGTACGTTCTCTTTTTGGCTTAATTCAAAAATTCTTATTTCTGTGTACAGTAATTCTGTCAATAAGTATAGAGCAGATGTAACAAATAAATGTTTCAGCCAGATACTAAATAGTTAGCCACGTCCTTTGGCTGAATAACTAAACAGTTGATATCTTTACTTCAAACAGTTTCATCAGATTCTCAGGACAATAAGAAATATAAGACACATACCTAAACATGAAATCTTGGTAAAAGTTAAACAACTAAGATATTAGCTAGGATGAAAAAACATTTTTACACAAATATATAATAGTTCATATAATAGCTCAGGTGCTTACAACTACCAATAATATTTATCTACAAAGACAAACAAAATTATTTTCTGAACAGTCTTTAGCCTGTCTTACAGGATATGCAAGTGGCAATATATCCGCAAGAGTTGTAATCGCAACAAATCATGCAAAAACCTGTAACTTGGATCTCCGACTTAGTTTATGATTGCCACCAGTTGCATAGGGATTGATTCAGTAATAAACTCTGTGTTCCCTTATTATCATGAATTATTTACAATACAAAAAAGGAGAAAAAAAAGAGAGTCCTGAATGTAATTACAGCTGCTTGGAAAGGAATTGGTAGGACAAGTCCATCTGACAGAACCCCGAATAACCCAACTGATCTGTG